CTGGCACCCTTCCTGTGTAGTTTTTATTATACAGATTTTTAAAAACACGGATGATGGGAGCAACTTCTAGTTCATCGAGAGAAATCTATTACAGTCTTCTTCCAAACGCGCATAAATTGTTGAAATAATATCCTGAGCTACGACATAACAGTATAAAACTACCATTCGTGATGAATCACCATCACGCAACCTGAAAATGTTTAAGTATCATGAAATACTTTTAAAGTAGTTTGATTGAAATTTTTCACTTACTATGATTTGCTTCAAATATATGCGCGTCCAAATCAAAGCATCCGCTTTAATATGGAATCTTTCCACTTGGTTCCAATATGGGCAAGTATTAAAGATTCGTGTTTATTTCATAGCAAACACAATGGCATAGGCAAACTGGTTTATAAATAAGTAATCATTTTTAATCTTTAGATTAATAAACAATTATTTGACAATAAAAATACCCAATTTAAATTCTGTATTGCAAATAAAAACTCATTAATATGACATCAATTTTTGAAATATTATAATATCACAGGATTAAACATAGGTATGACAATATCATTCTTTATAAAGCTCACAATAAATTCTAAAAATGTCAAAGTATAATGAAATACTTTTAAAGTAGTTACTTTGATTTAAATTTCTTACTTACGGTGGCTTACTTCAAATATCTGTATCAAAATCACAGGATCCACCTTTATATGGAACCTTTCCACTTATGCCCGCATGGGCGTATAAAAGTATAAAAAAATTGTGTTTATTTCTTAATAAACACATTGCTATAAGTGAACTATCAATACATTCTTTCTTATTAAGGTAATTAGCATTCTAAAAAACGAAACGGAAAATAATTTTTGAAATTTTGTATATAAAAAATTCATCATGTTGATGTTTTAGTTGGATTACATTTTGTTTCTAGCAGTGTGCTAAGGCACCCTGAGATCATGATAAATTATTCCAATGACAAAATTTTATATTTTGATCTTATGTTATAAAAAATAATTAAAAATTAAAAATCGTGGAAATTGAAAAGAGGGTCGAAATATATCAGTTGGGAATCGTGCTGATTATTGTTTTAGCAATTCTTAAAATTGTCAATTCAAGAAAATTGTTTTAGTAAATTTAGTTTCAAATTAAATTAAACTTTAAAAATTCATTTCTGATTGAAAATTAATTTGTACTTCTAAACATATTTTCATTGTAAATTTTATAATAATAAAATTGAAAATTGTTTTTTTCTGGAATTAATTAATATTATTAGTAAAGATTTGGGACATTTTTTTTTCTATTTACTATAATATATTGCTGAACCGAGACTATATGTAGTGACTATTAAATTTTGTGTAATTTAACATTTTCGTCATAATTATGTCGATAACGAATTCAATAATGCATTAAATGTAAAATATTGTTTATTCAGGGAAGAAAGTAGAACATGTTTCCTATCCTGGATTTTATGACAGAATTTTAGTATTTCAACATAAACAAATGTTAAAATTACCATTACTTTTCTCCCAGGTTACTGGTAAAATAATAAAATTATTACTGATCAAAAAAAATGTACGACCGTACCCAGTATATTGAATATAATATACTAAGGAGCCAGTATAAAAAGTATAATAAATATTAAATTATTTAATAGCATTCATATCTTTCCATGGCTAACATGGGCTTATCATTCACAACCGTTTTAAATAACGAGTAACGCTCAATCTTATTAGTATACCATGAAAACAAAAATCAAGTTTTGCCATAGTAATTCCAACGGCATTAAATTATTATCCCTATATGGGGCTAGTTTGTTATGTGTCACATAAAACGAGAATGCATCTACGTGTAATTGGATACCACAAATAATAATGTGCATATAGAATATTTGTTTTGTGCAAATTTATGGCAAACATATACGGAAATATATGTACGATTTGAAACTTGAATAGGAGTTAATACGATAGAATTACGGTACCTGGCGAAATGTATTCGGGCTGTGTGAATTAACGGCAGTTATATGGACCATTATTGCGAACAAACTTTTCCTATAGATGAGTTAGAGAAGAAGCCCGTAACGCATGTGTAAGTTGAATATAACATTATTTATAAATCATATTATATAAAATCATATTATATAAAATCATATTTATAACTTATAAATTGCACAAAATACTAGGTTCTATAAACTCTGGTAAAATAATATTAAATGGCTAAACAATTATTACGTTATTAAGGATGTTTTTGAGCAAAAATAATTCAAAATTTAAGCAAGGATGTTGTTCATCTGAACTATTCATATTCATCCAAAGTATTTTAATCTTTCCGATTTCCCTTCACAATCATTGCATTTTAATTTATAGACAACATTTGTCTACATTTGTCATTGTCATTTATAGACAAAATGCAATGATTGTGATTCCATTTACATAGGTGAAACTGGACAGAATTCAATGAAACGACTAAAACAACATGATAATAACTCAAAAATCCACGACAAAATCAAACCATGATAACAGAACATATTAAAAATTTTAAACATTCTTTTAACTTTTACAACGCTAGTATACTTCATCACGAACGGAACATTATTCATAGAAGATTCGCTGAATCTTGTTAATCAGCATTAATAAATCTTACATTAATAAACGGTGTAATGCCTCCTTACTTTGTGAAAATTATCAGGTGATACTCAATAATATTTCCAAATTTGTTTCCTTTTAACTAGCTAAATTCCGGACCTGTAAACCTACCCTTTCGCGGTACGATCTCGAACTTTGAATCTTAGCCATACTTCGAAACACTCGATTGTAAAAAAACTCGCCAACTATCCTTCAAACGGTCTCTTCAATAATTTTTAAGCACATGTGGCATTATCGCCTCGGAATCGTAGGCATAAACTACTGTTTCCGTGAAAAATATATTATATTTCACAAATATTTTGCTATGCTTTGTTCAACAAAAACAAAAAAACAAGATAGTGTATATATGCATATGTGTATATATGTATGTATATATACGTATTGTATATATATATATATATATATATATATATATATATATGTATATGTGTATGTGTTTGGTACATGTATATCGTATATATATGTACTGTTTATATATATATTTATGTATATGTATTACGCTTTTGCATGTTTGTATATATTTCTTTTTACTTTTCATTTATGTTTTGTCTATGTGTTTATTTATAATTATTATTGTTGTTATAATTATATTACTTGTATCTATAGTTTTTTTTTCCAATTTGTCATTTTTTCCTAGTTTATATTAATTTCTCAATGTTCATTCTATAGATCCACTGTAGATGACATAAAATCCTATATCGAAACGTTTGGAAAAAATTTAAGATTAACTTCTAAATCTTTGCCTTTTATTTGATGTATTGCTAGCAACTTACTCATGATTCTCGATTTCTCAACATCAAAACTAACTTCTTTATTATATATATATATATATATATATATATATATATATATATATATATACGAGTATATACATATATATATATAAATATATATATATATACATAATAAAATTTTGAACAAAGGGAACTTAACAGTTTTAATAATAATAGCTATTGTTATAAACCTTTTCCTTAAAAACATCATTGACCTATCTATCCCGATTGTTTACATTAAAAGTAAATAAACAAAACTGGACCAAGCGGAGTTAGAAAGAAGGAACTTATCAATTTTTTGAACTTGTTTGACAATTTGCCCAAAAAGATTTGGCACACTGGATTATTTAAATTTAGTTGTTTTACTGACTTTAATGATGATTTTTTTCATGTTTGAATTTTAAATTATAGTAGTATGCTGCAACCACAAAAACAAATGTGCGCTATCAAAATTTTTGTATAGAAATCTTTCAAATTTCTTTTTTCCAAATTCACAGTTATAAATTCCGAGGAACAAAGTGAAGGTAAGTGAAATTCATTATAAAAATATTTAATTTTCACATAATGTATTTGCAAATTTATTTTCGATTTTTTTTGTAGTTTTCAATTTTATGCCAATGACAAATGTCATTTATCTTCTACAAAGCTTTTTTTATTTGAATGATAAAGCTTTTGATTTTAATTTATTGATACATCGAACTGTCATGTAATTCGACTTAACTTAATTCAGTTCAAATATTTAGTGAATTTTTTTTATTACAACTTGACATGGATGCTTTTAGATTTGTACATGGATGCTTTTGATGTGTAATTAACAAATACACACATATTTGTTAATTTATCCGATATTAGTTTTTTAGTGTAATTTTTCTATACATTGTTTTATTGTTAATTATCAATTATAATGAAATATTTATTGAAATTCATTTAAAATAATGAAATTTCGTTTTATTACAAATTTTCAGTTTAAGTTATGACAATGAGATATAATAGGATTTGAGATAGTATTTCCATACGCTACTATAGTTCTATTAACATTATTTTAGCAATTCAGGCACCATGGTATCGAGACGCACAAGAAAGGAGGCGAAATCACGGAGCAGAAGTTCGACTACCCTGTCAGAAGTCTTGAATCACGAGGCCAAGAAAGTAATTGAAAAATAAAATTAATATATACTAATCAAAAAGAAATACAACTAAAATAACATCATAAAAACGAATATCTGAATGTAGTATTGTAGGCATTCACAAAGACTTTATAATTTAAAATGAAATCAATGAATATTGAAAACAAAATATAGATATCAGTTACCACTTCTATAAGTTTTAACTTAAAATTATAGATACCAAAATATTTTTAGTAAAAATAGCCCTTATCTGCAAGCATTGAAAAGTAATAAGTAATATTAAAATTTCATCACAAAAAATCGGATAATTGTTTGAGTTGTCATCTATAAACATTCTTAAAAGTCAAAATTTATTACAACTCATAATACCCATAATATATTATATATATATATATATATATAAATAGAAATGAGTATTTATTTATTTATAATTATCATTATAATTATTATTATTTATATTATTATTATTTTTGCAGAAACGTGCTCCAAGAAACTCGGGAATTCATAAACGCTATCGTCTATCGCCCTCATTGGCCAAACTAATTGGCAGTTATGAACCCGAAACACGCTATAATGTAGTCAAGCTAATATGGATACAAATCAAGGAAAGAAAACTCCAAGATCCTGAAGATCCGGCCTATATCGATTGTGACGCTGAATTTGAAGATGTGACCGGGATGGTGCGCCTTAAAGCCTTCACCATTATGAAGTACCTCAACCACCACTTTTTAGAATAGATCAATTCAACATCACATGTTCAGTCATATGAGAACTAGTGTTAGAACGAAATATCGAGTACTGAGTAAATATCTACACTATGCTGTCAATGAATACCTCTCACCGACCTATTACATATGCAACCAAATCCAATAGTCTCCATAGATGGTCATACTCTTCGAAGAAACATCAAAAATCGATCTCGAATCAGAAACCGAACTATGCTGTCAATAGTGAAAACTTTTGCTATTGATAGATATTTGTTGATATTGATAGTTTCCTTTGACAGTACTCAAGAAGTATCGAAAATATAATCGATGAATACCTTTTACCGACTTATTACATATGCAACCAAATCCAATAGTCACCATGGATGGTCATACTGTTCGAAGAAGCATCAAAAACCAATCTCGAATCAAAAACCGAACTATGCTGTCAATAGTGAGAACTTTTGACATTGATAGATATTTGTTGTTATTGATAATTTTCTTTGACAGTACTCAAAAAGTATCAATAATAATATAATCGATTAATACCTCTCGCCGACTTATTACATATGCAACCAAATCCAAGAGTCTCCATGGATGGTCATACTGTTCGAAGAAGCATCAAAAACCGATCTCGAAGGGTCATCAGTCGCAACATGTATTTCTCAAAAACCCCAAATGAATTGAACCGCACTAATAAATAAAGATGTACCAAATGTTCATGGACTAAATGGTCTAAAGTATCAATATAAAAATATATTAAATAAAATTGCAATACTATATTGTATTACATGAAAAATAATCGAAGTATAATTATTTCAAATAATAATACTCAACCATTTCAATACGTAAGTATTTAACGTAAAAATGAACCGAAATATAATTATTGCAAATAACAATAATAATAATAATTATTATTATTATTATAATTAACAATTGCAACATTAGTAATATTTATATTTAACTTCCCGAAGGAGAACAACTGGAACATCTGGAACAGTATTATCTGATCGTACATAAAGTGTAGATATGAGAAAATTTCGATGTAATGTTGAAAGACTTAATAACAGACAGCAAAGGCTACCACACTTTTCGGCGCGGTGCCCCGTTCAGTGGTGTTACTCCGGCGGAATGGACTGCCGTAAGAAAAGTGTTAGTTCAGGATTTATGTTTGACCAACTCAAATATTAAACGTAGTTCAAATTGTTCAGTTGTACCCGTTACTAAATCTGTTTGCTTATCATGTACCTTTTAAAAACATCTTTATAATGAAGTGGCAATTCTGAAAATTCATCAAATAACCAATATCTACATAAAAATTGTTTTGGTGAATTATATAAAAAGTATCGCATTTTATTTGCATTTTCTTCATAGTCATCAAGATATGCAGCATTTAAGACACTTCTGAGATTTGCTGCACTTTTCTACGTGCTTCCTCTTATTGTTCAGGGCCCAATCAGCATGATCCCAAGCGTTATGACTGCATACATCATCGTCTTTGCTCAAATATGAATTGCAGATTGTGCTTGTATACCACTTCCTATAATTAACTTTCTGAATGCACTTAAAAATGTACTATATATTCTAGAAGCTAGTCAATATAATAAAATATGAACAAAACTCTTTTTTCAATTGACAAAGTGTAATTTTAAAAATGTTTTCAAAAACGAGTGCCTTACATTGTGTGGACTTCCTTTACCTCCCGGTCTAATTGTAAGAGGTAAGAGGTCCGTACTCCATACTCCGTACTGGGTACTCCGCTCGACGTATTGCGGAGGATCGATCTGTTCGTGGCCGTGAGGCCCTCGCTAAACGGACAGCAAACGGCTTTGTTTGCTGGTGCATGTAATTCATATCGCAGATAAATGTTTATATGCACGCGCGTTTTCCTCCAGTCACGGTTATCGTGCTCTTTTATGGATACCAGAGCAAACTTTATGAATATATTACGCCGCGAAGATGTGTACAAGTATAAAAGGCGAACGTTTTTATGTGTACATAACAACAAATAGGAAGAGATATATGGACGACGGTTGCAAATACACATGTTCATACTTATAGATAGATAGAGATATGTATATTAATTTACACATATATACATACATTCATACAGGCTCACACGGGTCAGCTAGTATACTAGATGACCCGGGAAACGATGTTTTACCATAAAAAATATGTATATTATGAAAATAACTAATTGATTGCAAATTGGTATATAAGTGAAAGGCACGTCACATATAAATGTTTCTGGATAATAATAATAGTCTTTGCAAGAACCAACCTAATCTGTAACTGATTCTATTTATATCAATTAGCATTTACAGTTTCAAAATTTTGATGTATAATTACCGCACTTTTGATTAATTCATTAATTTTTGATTTACGAAGTAAAACTTGATAATTCATTTCTAAATTTTATTGTTATGTGGCATGCCCAGCAAATTGACTAATATTTATGCTTTAAATTCTTATTTATAGCATTTTTTATGATGTATATATATTAGGTTGTCAAATATCTCCCTTCCGCTTTTTTGCTCTTGGTTTATAATACAAAAAGGCGGAAGGGAGATATTTGACAACCTTATATTTACACATACCTATAATATGCAATTAATATAACTTATTCATTAATATTTTATTTCATACTATATTTCTTAGTAGTAATAATATATATTTTAAATATTGTTTCATTTCGTGTGTTAATTTGTTTAACGCCAGATTTTAAATTTTAATTATCGCTACTGCCCCTGACCATGAAACATATATTTATTAAATTGAAATTCAGCCAAACATTTAATTTCATAAACAATACTATTAATATTCACAAATATATGTTGCTTTATAAACTTTCCCCCAATAACTTTCATAATATTTATTAATTTATTTAGCAGATAATAATATATAATCTTCAAATGGACTCACATAGAAACGCGGTATAAATCGATTCATTCAAATATTATAATATAATCATAGAACAAATGTACTTTGTAGAGGTCTACTGTACCCAACGTTATCGCTCGAATTGTTCGTAATATAAGTCGTTGGTCTAGATAAGATCAAGCTGATTTTACGATTCACTTGTCAAACATTATTGATATTACCAAAAATATAATATTTCGGCTATAAATTGAAACGTTTAATATACTCTATGTTCTAAATGGGATCTATATGCACACGGTGAGCAAAACAAATTTTAAATCGGTTCAGTATATAAGGCGTCCATCGCGGACGTTAGGTGTGATACTAAATTTATATTATATATATATATATATATATATATATATATATTGCATGTGTAGCCTTCTCGTAAAATAGTAGGTGAAGTCTTCAAACATATAGCTTAAGGGAGCAAGAAGTTTGAGTGATTTTAATTGCTGTTTGAAAAAAAAATAGTTTTCCCTAAAATGAATATTCTCATAGTTTATTCATATCTGTACCATTTTATCATTTTAAAGTTTATAACTCCAAAGCCCTCAATAAAATGATTCAAAGAGCATCGATTATTGTATGGTTATAAAAAAATGAAGACGGCAGAGTACAGTCATACTTTTTCATGAGTCAAACAAAGTCACTTCAACAAAGAACAAATTGTAAATAATTGAACATTTTATTTGATATTAAATGCATCATAAAGCATCAATTTTGTCTTGAACATAAATGCTATTGTTAAATGAATCATGAACACTTAAGAATCGTAACGATACAAGAGCGTCACAAAAGAAGAAAAGAAATACCTTACGAAACGGTAAACAGACAAAAACACCTGCCCACATATAAGTATTTTCAGGCGTTGAATATACATTATACATTATTTGTTTTGTGGCATTATTGAGCATAATCCTTGTTCGTAGTATAAGATGCATGGAGTGGCAACAGTGGCGCATTCGCTAGCACAACTTTTGGAGGTGAAGCAATTTAATCGAAACAAATACATTTTAAAATTTAAATTAAAATCATTGATATATTCTTGGATATGTTATCAATATTGAACAAAATTGGAAACTAATATTTTTGATACATTGTAATTATTTATTTTATTTCACAAAACTCGAGATAATTTAGTTTTAAACCACACTTGCATTTGAACGAGGTGTACGTGTGTCAAGGAAAAAGTTCCTAGATCAATGAAAATATATTTTTAATTGAGTTTTAAATAATTAAATTTGAGAGAACAACTTCGAAAAAAATTGAGTAATTGCAGCAATTTAAAACTATAAATTTTTCAAAAAATATTCGAATAAATCGCAATTTAACCCTTTCGCTACAAATGTCGTCCATGGATGACATCCACATGACGACGTTCAACGTGCGACATGTGTTTACCTTTTCTTTAAGGTTTATCACTATGAATTAAACTATTAAGAATTTTAGTCTTTTGTTGTATATTTTAGTTTATTAGGAACGTAATTTTTGATTTTTAAACACATTTTTATCAAAATATAATAAATTTAAAATTTATCGTTGTGCCTGTCTCTTCAATAGTGCAACTATGCGACATGCTCTTCTCTATAGCAGCGACACTTCTGCGGAAAACACTACCGTAGCAAAAAGGATAATAAGTTGAAATATTCAACCAAATCTTTGTTCAAAATGAATAAATAAGCCAGAACCTATAGCTTATGGACCGATTTTGCCGCATAAGAGACCAATGCTATGGCAAAGCCATGTTACGCAACAACTTGCATACATTAAGCTACTGAATTATACTGAATACTATAAAAATATCATGTATGTGTTGTGCATCCAGGAGTTTTACACATAAACTGCAACGTCACTCGTATGATATGAAGCTTGGTCTGAAAGAACCTGTTATCTAAGATCGTTTTTTTTAAATTTGCGCGGCTTCTGGGTTAGGTTTTCAATTAGACAACCTGAGAAAAACGCCTGACTGCACAGCAACCTCATGTCTTTTGACAATATTTAGAACGATTTTGTATGGTTCTACATAACATAGCCTTCCCATAACATTGGTCTGTTGCACGGCAGAATCGGTCCATTAATAAAAGTTATGTGTAAATCTGCAGAATTATGTA